CTTGAGAAGGCCATATATATATATAGGGCTATATATAAGCACATAGCGTGTGTAATAATTCTGTGGCGCTATGCTACGGTAATTTAAGCCCCGCAGCGATCACGATTCGTTGAGTTTTAAATCCGCCGCATTCACTTCATCCTGAATTATCCTTAGGCGCGTCGTGCTAGAAATTCAACGTGGCGAGAAATTCTACGTGGCTAGAAATTCAATCTCTAGAAGTTACTGCGTAATAACTCCGTAGTAATCTGAGGTAGGAGATCGTGTATTTTTACCTGTAGGTCGCCGGCTGGGCGAGCCAGTAGCCCACCTATAAGTTGCACGTTAGGTAGAAGTGGTCTCGGGTAGTCGAGTGCAAAGTTGCTGGCAATGAACACCAAGGACGCCCGGCGCCTGATGCTGGCGATAGTGTCACCGCGCTGAAAAATCGTTCGAAGTCGTTAAGAAAAAAATAGGTTACTGTCACAATGTCACTCCAAGGTCGCAGGTCAAGCACGTGAGCGCTGCCTGCATGGCATGACCCACGAAAACAATCAGCATAAAAGGATGAAATTGCGCTCTACAGTTATTTTTTTAGTTATTCTAAGGTTATTTGTATTTATTAGGCACGTTTGATGTATGCTCCGAGGTCTATGTGCACCCCCCCCCCCGCGCGCCTCGGAGGCTATCCTGCTCTGTCGTGTGCACTGCAAGCCTTACGTATAGACGCACGCACGCAGGCACACACACGCACGCACACACACACACACGCACGCACACACACACACACGCACGCACGCACGTACATAAACCATCTCTATAGTCACGGCGCTAACGAATTCGGGCAGCGACCTACGATTCACCAACAATATACACACCATACGCACCACACCACACCATACGCACCACACCACACCACACCACACCACACCACACCACACCCACCTACACCACACTTTAGACCATTCTTAATTATTATTCATGACGTGGGGTCACGCACGAAAACGAGGCTAAGCTAGGCACTTTTGTAAACAATGGTGTACCCGCGTGTACGTGCGTGTATTTTCAAAAATTTTCAGACCCCCCCTTCGCGTGCTCGCTACAGTACTGGTGTCCCCCCCCCCAAATTTCAAAATGGATTTGCGCGCCTGCCCATCTCAATGTGTATGTCATTGCCACACACGATAGCCAGCCTTAATAATGCAACCACAAAACGTCGCGTCAGCTTTAGTGCACGAGCCACGAGATTGGTCGGCCGATGACGTGTCACATCCTCTAACCTAAAAGGGTAATGAACCGGAAGTGATTTTATAGTGGTCACGTGTCTTCCCCATTGCCTTAGGCGTAGTGCCTATCTCTGTTTGACGTGTTTTTCCATCGTATCTCTTCAAACTAAAGATCTCCATCGAAGCTAATTCCGTCCTGACATTCCCTGGAGTTGTTAGAATCTCAACATGGATCCAGACGCATTTACAAGAATTGCAAGCACTGTTCAAGAACTTCAAGGAGTCGGACCACAAACCCCTGTCGTTCCGATTGGAACCAAGAGTGTAGTCACCACACTTTTCCCGACACCTTTGGGACCAGGACCATCGACAGTTGGCTTGAGTGGAGTCTCAAGAGATCCTATTGCTGGACGTCAGACACCAGCCACTGAGATTTCACGATGGGCCCGGATGTTTAACACGGAGTTCATTTGGAAGCCCAACCTGACGGAAATCTTTAGAATCAGCCCGGATGACGCAGAATCATTCACCAATTTCTGCATGCTCCGAGCTCGATTGGCCACCAACACCCGCTCGTCCGGGTTATGGAATAACCTGGACACAGGATTCATGGCTTTTGTCATAGGAGAGCGCCACCTGGATCTGCCTGGGCCTCCAGGAGCCAACCTAAAAGAGGCGTTTCTCCAACTGTTAGAGGTGACCCAAGAGCACCACGTTGCTGCTATCCGAGCCAGACGGGACATCGATGTGAAAGACGAGAATCCGTGGTCGCAAGACAAGTTCTTGAGCGAGTGCATGAAGGAGGTCAGATCAACATCAAGTGTCACCCCGAGCCTCGACCTTGTCTCAGCGAATAGCTGGGCCATCATGGCCTGTGCAAAGAAGGGTCAGGCGTCCGACTCGTGGGTTGACCGGACGACCCAGCAGCTTGTGGCTGAAGGAGTCCTGAATCCCGTCCGGCGGCCTACAGCAGACCAGTTAGCAGTAATATGGCAGCTGTTTTGGAAGAAGTTTACTCTTCCTTTCCTGGAGTACATGTTTTTGAGGGCACCGGCCCAGATGGGCAGTCCTCGACTGAGTCTCGTGGCTGCACGAGGCGCCACCTCTGGCTTTACCGCATTCAGGTTAATCAAGGAGATGATGGAAGCTCACCCTATGTTTCCCTGGGCCAAGGTTGCGATCATGAAACCATCTGAGTGGGCCATCTTGGTACAGGTAAAGTCTAAATTGAAGAACCAACCTCTATTGGGCTTCGAGATGGAGTCTCGAGACCTCGGAGTAGCTAAATACCCCACGTTTTTCACAATTGCCCGAATGCTCAAACAAGACGTGGAGGGAGACACTGCCTTTGTGCACTATAAAGGATTGTCCTCCCCTCAGGCCACTGCTCTATTCAAGCCTATAATAGAGAAGTACAAAGAATTAGTCCTAGACAGGAAGCGTTCTGGGCAATTCCACAGTGACTCAGACTGACGTGACATTTTTTTGTCATGTAGTTAAAATATTGTAAGGTAATCATAACAGTTAGAATTCTTACATTGCATTAATTATACTATTAAAAAGAACATTAAACAACAAACTCATCTGAAAATTATCTTCTTTATACGCTCTTGATGATATGTCTATAATGTAAGAGGTCTGTGACTTACATATTCTCTGAGTCGTGGAGTTCGAGCTGTAGACTAACACCGTCGCTGTCAGCACGCTCCGTTTGAAACCTTCCGCAAGCATTTCTATGCGAGCGGCTGAGCGTAAACTGTCCGTAACTATCGCGAAGTATTACCTGCAAAACGTAAGTATAAAAGTATATAGCTGCAAAAACTACAACCCCCAATATCATGAGGGAAAAACGAGACGTACGCACGCAAGCACACGCGCGTATATATATTATACATGTGCTTTCTTTTCGTATCGCGAGATTTCTTCAAATTCTGAATTCAAAAGACAATACTGACCGAGCACCCGATAAGAATAGCATAAAACCTATTTAGTGACCCTTGTTATAGCCTCTAATAGTGCTGAGAGGGTCTATGTCCCCCAGGGTACTGCCGGAACGTACCCTTGGTATGGTCCGTTATACCGGAACATACCCTGGTACTATCTAATATGCTGGACCGTACCTCTCCTACTCTACTAACGAGTCTAGGGAGTCGCCTACGCCTACTCCCTAACCCTAACCCTAACCCTAACCATATCAGATAGTTACCAGGTTACGTTCTGGTATACCGGACCGTACCCAGGGTACGTTCCGGCAGTAACCTGGGGGACATAGACCCTATGAGCTCTAATAGTGGAAAAATGGTAATTCAACGAGGAACATTCATATTCATGTCATCCTTACCCAACATCTATACTTTGAGTAATCATAAGTTGTAATATGTGTACATCATAGCAGGCTTTCAGATTTGAAAAGTACAGGAGGACTATACTAATGACTCCCCTAAGACACCATAGGGGGTCTTTTCACGCTCCATAATCACACCCTTAAGAGGCACGATGGAGAGCTCCACTAAAAAATCACACCCTTAAGAGGCATGATGGAGAGCTCCACTAAAAAATCACACCCTTAAGAGGCATGATGGAGAGCTCCACTAAAAATCACACACTTAAAAGGGATGATGGAGAGCTCTTTGAGGGCTCTCCATCATGTCTCTTGGGGTGTGATGATGGAATCATGACCAATCCTCAGTCTAGAGTGAAATCCAAAACGAAAATTGGGATGTCATGTCAATCCACTGATTATCATTCATCTTCACCTTCATTCATTCAATGGCTTCGTCATGATTACATTCTTTTCATCCAACAACCCAACACTAGCACACAGATTAATAAAGGAGTTGATCGGATGTAAAAATAAACTTGTTTTATTTATTCTGATCTTCATCCTCAGAGATTCTAATCCATGTACCTGCATATTTCAGCACGAAATATCATCACAATCCATCAACAAACTAGCCAAATTACTTGTACGTAGTAGCCACGTATGTAGCCCCTCCAGCCCTACGACTGTTTCACGTCGGCAGAAAACTACTTCTCGCCACGTATAGTGGAAAACGAGCAGGTAACTTAATTGTGGCTACCGTGTAGGTACCTGTATTTGGATGCCGTTGTCTAGTTGTATAAACCAGAGGGTAGTAACCTGTACCTCTGCCATACGTTCAGTTACTTACACACCACAAATTGTTGTGTGTTGCTAACCTTTTTGTACCCTCCTATATTGACAACTCTGTGGAGTGCTATTTCAACATAATACACATACTTTTCGTGCGCGATTTCAACCACTTTTATGAGGCGCGATGATGCACGCACCACGGCAAAATTTTGGGTGCGCGGCGGAGCGCGAGCGCGATCACGCCCCTTAAAAATGAAAGCCGACATAGACAATGTGTCCTCGTTCCAATAGGCCAAGCAGCGCCATTTGTAGTCGAAGATTTCTACAGGCAACCGCATATCCAATATAGGTAATTAGGTATTAATAGATTTGCGATGGAACATATGTGCGATTTATCATCCAACTGCTGTGTAGTATTGGCCGTAGCCTGAGCAAGTTCCAAGGGGAAGATGGGATTTAGTGAAATCAGCAAAGAAATGACGAGAAAGGGGTGGAGCTCCTAGTAAACTTGCATATTAAGGTGGACCCACCTCGTAAGCCTAATCTTAAAACATTACTACTCTCCTAGAAACAAGTGCCTACAATATAATATATAATCATAATAATTTATCATAATAATTATTACATAATAATACCCTATAAATTACGATAAAGTCAATTACGTGATTATATAATTAATGATTTAGGTGGTTATGGGGCCAACCTCGAAGAAATTCCATTTGGAAATTCACTGGATTTAATTTTTGGTGTGTGTATAACCAACGCCCTGTTTAGTGTAAGAGATTAAGAGTGCAGCCACAAACATACCGTATTTGAAGTTGACTTCGCGTGCTCGGTAGTCCAGTGTTTTACACTTGTTTATGTTGATCATCATGGTGCGTGTACCCGCGTGTACGTGCGTGTATCTCCGTGTACCCGCGTGTACGTGCGTGTAT